TCTGAAGCAAAGGAAATGAATACTCTCTCCTCAGACTTCCAGGACCTTAAATTCACCTCTGCCAAATACTAGAGGGCTCTTCCCTTTCCCTGGGTCTCTGTATGGTTAAATGTTTTTTTAATCTCTCTGGAAGGATTGTCTTAAGTCATTTTATGGAAAATTAAAATTTGGGAAAACTGAGCTCCACGAGCTTTTCTCTCTTGATGATACTTGGGAAGCAGCCTCTTCCCTTGTGCAGTCAATTGACAGACGACTTCCTTCTAATTATATCTCCAGGTCAAGGAGAATCTATCAGTGCTCCCAGGACTACCTGAAAATTCCACTGAACATTGTTACTCTTTGTATTGCTATTTAACCTGCCATCCTCTATCCATGGAGTTGGGAGAGTGCCATATATTCCAGTCCATTCTGTTGCTCATAACAGAAAATACCTGTGTCTAGGCAATTTATAAGAATAGGGAATTATTAAGTTCATAGTTTGGAGGTCTAAGGTCTGGGGGTCCACATATGGCAAGGATCTAGTAGAGTTTTACACCAGCACCACTGACACCCTCAGGTTTTCAAACTTTTAGCCTTGGACTGTGTTACGTCATCTGCCTTCCTGCCTCTGGGACCTCTGAACTTGGACTTTCCTACTCTAGCAAAATTCATGGATTTACAGCTTGCAGATGGCCTGCTGTGGAACTCTTAGCTGCCATAAGCATGCAGTAGATGGCCTCAGTAAATCTGTTCTTACACATCTGTACAAACCTACTATTATATCTCCCTAAAGAACTCAAGGGGGACCAGCAGTTAGCGTAATGGCTATGTTGCTGGATTCCCATGTAGTCGACCGTGATTCCATGTCCCAGACCCTGTGGCTTAAAACTCATGCTGGGCATATGTGCGTGCATTCTCGTCCAAAATCCCAGAGAGGAGAATGGAGGAAAAGGGATTGTGGCGTGGCCATTCCCCATGGGGGTTGATTTCTCGCTTTCTGTCTCTCTGTCTCTGTCTGTCTGGTGAGCACACGTGTCATATAGCAAAAACCTCTCCAAAAAAAGAAAAAAAAAAGAACCCTGACTAATATACTGTGTCTTCACACACATACAAAAAGAAGAAGAAGTAGAAGGAGGAGGAGGAGGGGTCGCAAGAAAAAGAGGAAAAGGCGGGGGACAGTATTAGGTATTTATTGTTGTCAACCTGAATATTGCGAATAAATTAATGAATAGAACATAGATTAATTTTTATTAAAATTTTGTCAGTTGGAAAATCACACCAATTCTAAAGAAGAAAATGTAAAGTACCAAATTTTCTTTCCCAGTAACATGCACAGAGGTCTTGCCTGAAGTATCCTATTGATGCTGTTGAATTCTTGATATGTCCCACAAAATATATCAAGGATTGATCTTTGTTTCTCATAGTTACTCTCTTCCATCCATTGTCTTCTTAATTTTATTTTTTTTCACTCCTCTTCCATTAGGAAATAACTCCAATGACTATTGACCATGTCTGTTTGCCATCAAAAATTGAATTCTTCTCTGTGTGGAATGACTTACCATAAAATATTATTTATTCAGATGAAAAAGAATATTTTGCCATTAAAAATGAAAGTCAAAGAAGTTGGATTTGTCTTCTAATCACATGTTAATAGGTTGAAGCATGAAGAAAACACATTTTACTGTCTTGTAAATATGCCTTAGAGAGGAGAAAACACAATTTGCTACACCCTCCCCTTTTGGGGAGGTCTAATTAGAAAATTAATTTGAACAGGGCATCCTTTAAGTTACTGTAACTTTTTTTTTTTTTTTTTGAGAGGTGTTTGCTTTTGGGTGTATGTGCTTGCTGGAGAGACAGAGAGAGATGAAGACAGAAAAAGAGAAATCATCCACCTGGGGGGATGGTCATGCCGCAATCACTTTTCCTCCATTCTTGGGATCTTGAGCACACACCCACACACACCCAGTGTGAGTTTCAAGCTGCCAGATCTGGGACTTGAACTGTGGCCAACTATGAGGGAATTCAGTGATGTCACCATTACACCGTCTGTTCGTCCCAAAGTTACTGTGGCTTTTAATATTTTTCACTTACATATATACTAATATCACCTCAAAAACTTTATTTTTAAAAATCAGGGGAATTTTTCTCTTTACTAATTCTTATAGAAAAGGTCTATTTTCTTTGAACTACGTAAGATAGTGTGACTACTTCTTACAACATCTTTTAGTCACTAAAGGAGAAAATCAGCTTTTCCTTTTGCTCTTTCCTTCCTTTCTTTGTATTATTTCAAATTATTCCAGATTACTTGGGCACTATGTATGAAATACACAGTGAATACAGATCCTGTACTTGTTCACTAGAGTGAAAATTGTGTAACGTGGTTTCCTTGTGGATTCTCCTGGGCCTTGTTCATTGTCCTTCCCAGTTCATGCTGCTGGAAACTTAAGAATGTTTGTGAATCAATTTTAAATTCTGGTGGCTTATAGGAAATTAATTCTGATTTCCTGAGAGGCCACAGTGAAGTGATGGAGTGCAACCCTTGGTCAAGGATAGAGTTTTAACTATATATTTTTTTGTGTGTATTTGTTTTGGCTTGTTTTATTCCTGATTAATCAGATTCATGTTTAAAAAGTCAGGAACAATTTAATATGCTTTATCAGATTAAAAACTGCAATCCTGCAGCTAGCAGGTGGCATACTGTTTAAGGCACTGGACTACCACGTGGTTGAGTGCATCGCAAGTCCCAGACCCAGTGACTTGAAACTCAAGCACGTATGCGTGGACGCCCAAAACCCTGAGAGAAGAAAGGAGGAGTTGGGATTCTGATGTGGTCATTCCCTCTGGGTGGTGGTGGTTTCTTTCTTCCTGTCTCTCTGTCTCTCCAGTGAGTGTATACTCTATAACAAAAGTCTCTGACATCAGAAGGATCAGATGTAGTGAGGGTGGTATAGCTGTAGAAAAATCCCTTTAAAAAAACCCCAAAATACCAGCAATCCTAATATAAGGCCTTCTCCCCATATCCAGAAACATTTATCAGCATCTTTGTTAAATTAGAGCTCTCATTTTTATGTAAAAAATGAGTATAGTCAAGGTTTATTATAAGCAAACACTAATGTGCATTTTTTTAAATATGTTGGCTGTAAGAAAACAAACAAGGACTTTTAAAGCTAGCTTTTCCCAGCTTCACTTAGTATGCCATCCATCAAAGAAGGATTATGGGACAAATTATCTGGGCTGGCTACTTTCTAGACAGAGATATTCCAGATATCCATTAAATACAGCTCACCTACCCAACCAAGGTATTGTCAACTTGGAATGTCCAACACTTCAATTTGAAAAGATTACTTTTTTTGTAAATTCTTTTTTATATTATTTGATTTAATTTATGCATTTATTTATTTAACCAGAGACAGAGAGAGAGAGAGAAAGAGACAGAAAGTGAGAGAGCAATATGCCAGGTCTGGGACTCTAACCATGGTCAGCCATGTGGAAGTCCAGCACTTTAACCACTGGGCCATCTGCTGGCCCCTGAAAAGATGACTTTAAATTGTCTCCCAAATAGAATATTCTCTTGCCTCTGTTGAATTCTTTTAAATTTTATTTTTCTTTACCATGACTTCAGAAAATTATTTAAATTATGTCTGTGAAGTCCTCCACGCCTGTTTGACAGGATACATACAGTTTTTTGCTTGTTTTTTTTTTTAGAAGGATTAGTATGATATATACTGGGAAGGGTTGTTTTGTGTGTTTGTGTTCATATATTGATATGACCACTATTGGATTATTCAATAAATAAAAAAGGGGCCATTATTATCCTTTGTGGATTTAGGTCTTCTAAGGAAATTAATGTGATCTTTGCTTGAGTAATTTTATTGACCTATGGAGAAGAAAATTTAAACAGGTAGGATAATATTTCTATGTCCTTATCAAAATTACTGTATTTTATAATAATGTTTGTAAATAGAGTATGATAGAAACTAAATTAAAGCAATGATAGTAGATATACACAGGAGAAAAAAATAGTTATTTAATTAAAAAGTTAAATCATTTTTTAAAAAACTAGCACTCGATAAATGCACAAAAAGTTTATGACTATAAGTAGTTAAAGATAATGTTTAGATGTGGAAAGATAAACAAAATTCCTATCTGTGTGTCCTAAAGTATTTTATATTTCTGTAAATAGTATCTTAGATTATGGTTTTCTCTTAAACATATATGGCTATATTAGTAATCTAATCTTACCAAATATGTATTATGCTTATTATTCTAATGAAGACTTAACTATATAAGTAAAAATAAAAGTATGAGACTACTTCAAGAAATTTATGGAAAAATGAAATTAAAGTACAAGTTTACTTTATGCAAAAAAATGTTTTATAATACAAACTTTCCATATATTTTTCAAGACCCCTTGTATAACAATTAAGTTAAATATTATTTGGGGGACCAGCACATGGCGTGATGGTTAAGGTGCTGGACCCCCACATGGCAGACAGCAATTCAAGTCCTGGACCTGGCAGCTTGCTTTCTCACTTTCCCTTTCTCTGTCCGTCTCTGGTCAAATTAAAAAAAATGATAGATAACAACAAATAAAAAAATAATTCTTTTAAAATATATATTATTTTGGATGTCTACCTTTGGACAAACCCAATAAGACAATCCCATGATCTCTAATTAAATTTTAAAAAGTACCCGAGATCTGTTCCCTGAAAGGTAGCATACCTCAGAGCACGTGGCCAGCTTCTAAAGTATAAGCCTAGCATTTCTAACTCTAATCAACAAATTTCTTCAACTACAACCTTTCAGTAAAAAAAAAATCCATTACAAAATAAAATGTCTGATAATATACACAACAGTTTCATAATGATGATGCAGTGAGGATAACTGTGTTTTTCTATATATACAGAAGATAATTACGATGACAAAAATTTTAATGTGACAAAAACCAGGTATGGGGTAATATCATGTTCTAATCTATTAGAGAAACATTAAAGCAGTGAAAGGGAACCTGTGGGTCACAATTAAATCCCAGATGTGTTCAACACTTTTTGAAAGCAGAAGAGCTTTTTAATTGCATTCTTCATATCCTTGTTTCTGAGACTGTAAATGATGGGATTAAAGAATGGGGCAAGTACAGTGAACGTCAGTGCAATACAAGTGTCCAAAACTGGTGGGTAAGTAGTATTGAAACGCAGGTACATAAGTGACACGCTGCCAAAGAATATCAGGAAAACCATGAGATGGCCTGCACAGGTAGAAAAGGCCTTCTGCCTACCTTCAGCAGAGGGCATTCTCAGGATGACAATGACAATTCTTATATATGACAGGGCAATGATTAGAAAGGTAATGATGATGACCACAGCATGGATCACATCCTCAATCAGAATCATGGAGGTGTCCGTACAGGCCAGGCTCAGCACAGGAACCAAGTCGCAGAATATCTGATGAATCTGGTTGGGCCCACAGAAGGGCAGTGTGGATATAATCACAATCTCAGGAAGCAAGATGAGAAAACCAAAGATGCAGGAGCCTGCAGAGAGCTGAGCACAGAGCCTGGGGGTCATGATCATCTGATAGCGAAGGGGGTTACAGATGGCAATGTATCTGTCTATGGCCATGGTGAAGAGCAATATCCCCTCCGAATTTCCCAGTGAATGGAAGAAATACATCTGCAAGAGACAGCCTGTCATGGAGATTGCCTTCTTTTCACTGATGAGGTTGGAGAGCATTTTAGGAATTGTGGCTGTGGTATACCAGATCTCCAGAAAGGAAAAGATACTAATAAAATTATACATAGGATTGTGGAGACGGGTGTCCAGCCTTACAGCAAGGAAGATCAATAGATTCCCAATGACAATAAAAGTATATATGAAAAGTAAAGGAAAAAAATACAGGAGACTGCCATCCTGGAGCTGGGGGAACCCAGTGAAGATAAACTCGGTCACTGCTGATAGATTTCCACTCCTCATATTCCTAGCAGAGTTAGCTGCAAATGAAAGAAACTAATTTGTGCCTGCGAATTAGTTCAGGATGAGGTCATGAAAGTCAATCAGATATTACAATGAAATAACTTGAAGGAATAACAAAAAATAACTTGAATTGTTTTCCCCTAACTTCACATCATTGTGCATGTTGACCAATAATTGATTTTTTTCTTCCTCCCTCATTTACTTCTCCAAAGGCAAAATTGCAGAAATGGAGGTCTTTAAATGTTTTTAATGGTTAAAAGAAAAGAAAAAAACGAGTAAAAATTATTTTTATTTGTGGACCAGCAGAAGATAGTGTGGTGGTTAAGGTACTGGATCCCATGTAATTGTCAGCACGGTTCTAGTCCCAGACCCAACAACTTGAAAATCATGTGTATGCATGTGTTCCCAAAATCTGGAGAAGAGAATGGAGGAAAGGGGATTGCTATCTGGCCATGTCCCCTGGGAGGTGATTTCTCACTTTTTCTCTTTCTCTCTCCCTTTGTTTGTCTCTTTCTGGTGAGTGCGAACAGCCTACAGCAAAAACTAGAAAATAAAAGGAGTTTTTTTAATCTCTAGTATAAGCATTTAATGTATAAATATAATGTATAAGTTTTATACAAGTACTATATTATTAGAATCAGAATGTAGACCTGTAGTCAGCATTGAAATCCTGTCCAAGACTACTTATTAATATGTGTCTTTTGGGAAAATTACTAAATCTCTCAGATTCTCAAGTTTTCATTTGCAAAACAGTACCTATAATTTAAAAATAGCACCTACCTAATCAGGATGCTGTAGAATTAAGTAAATACTTGCAAACGATTTTAACAAAGTTTGATAGACAACTTCTTTTTTTAAAATTTATTTCTTTTTGTATATACATTCAGTCGCATTGTTTAGCTTACAATATGAGCATTTCAATATGTGAACATTTCTCCCCAGTCCCGTTGATCAAAATATCTTCAACCGATAATACCACACTTCTTGAAAGACTAATAAAATCCTACTCACCAGGTTTCTCTAACACTTTGCTATGAGCTTCTTCCTATTTTTCCCCTCATTTTCTGACCTATTTTCACCTCATTTCTCTGATTATATTCCCCATGCTTATATAACTCATAACTATAGCTCTGTATGCTCATCCAGTAATCATATCCACTTAGAAGATTTCAACTATTAATGCTTCTAAATGTTTTTCTCCAAACAGCTCTCTTTCATAAGTTCCATACCATATCTGACTCTTAAGCTCTATTTCCTAGCATTCCCTAACTCCACTCTCCCTGCAATCCCATCACTCAAGTTGCTTTCTGAAGTCACCATACCGCCCTGTGTGTGTTACTTTCTCTGACTTGATGGAACATACCTCTCCTCTTTTGTCTTTCTTTTTACACAATAGCAATTTATAGAACTGGCAAAAGATGTAAATGCCAGAAACAAGCCTTTAATATTTAATTTCCCCCACCATTTATAAGCTGCTAACATAAGTTTACTCAATCTCTGCATGCCTTTAATTCTCCATTCGTAAAATGTAAAAGATATGAATATAAGTGATAAGGTTATGACAACAATGAAGAACTTCATGATAGCAATAACAGTACAGTATAGTCATGGGATAGTGTAGTGTGGTATTAATGACTCATTCCCTCCAGTGAACACTGTCCCAAATATGTCATGTATAGTTCTTACTTAATGCTCATGATCTCTAATAAGTTAATAAGTTAAGACTATTATTCCCGTTTTACAGATGAGAAGATTTGGGCAAAGACTGGCTATGTATCTTGTTCAGAGATTTCCAGCTAATAAAGGACAAAGTCAGGATTTAAATCCTTGCATCGTGTTGCTGGGAGAATGCACTAACCCACAGACATTTGACTGCCTCTACCAATATGAGTAAATGTATTTTATATATTTAGAGTAGCATCAGGAATATAGGAAACACTAAAACTTTGGACACTATTATGCTGGAGTTTCTGTATTATAGCCTTTCATGGTCTATTATCAGTGTACTTGTTTTGCCTTCTGTAGACCTTGAGTTCTGGGAAAGTAATTTTGTTTTATTTTTTTAATTTCTCACAGTGACTATAACAGGATTGGCATGTAAAAACTGATTGGTATCAAATAAGGTAATTTGGAACCTGGCCACTGAATGAAATTACAATTAAACATGCAAGATACCTAAGCATAAGTGAGTGAAGAGGAATAAGGGCTGTTCAGAAAAGAAAGTAGGACAATTCAATCCTAAGGCATTTGTAATCAAGTCTAGACTGAATGACATCTCAAAAAATAGCATCATAAATGCAGGATCTAGTTTCTCATAGATCCATGACCAGCATCCCAGTCTCCTCTTGAACATGTCATTGCTTCTTGCCAAAATTTGAAGCTCCTAAACTCTTTAATAATGAGGTCTTCAAGTTATGAGATTATTATTCTTGTGCATGGCCGGTAAATCCCTTCTCTCCAACACTTAACCTGCACTCACCTCTGACAAAGAATACAGGGACTCCTCTTTCTGTCTGGGTCTCTGCATCCTTGATACCACTTCTGTGCCTTCAAAAGGGGATTTATTGTCATCTCCACATGCATCTCAGGGAAGAGCAGAAAAGGGGAAGTGGGTTCTACAGGGGATTCTTCTTCTGCACTGTAGCAGAGGATTATCTTCTCTCAAGGGGCTAATTAACAGAAAGAACCCCTTCCTTACTTTTCTCTCATTAGATTTCTAGATCAAAACTATCAATAAGTGTGTATTTTTTTCTATTGTACCCAAATATTGCACACTACCTTCTCCAGTATTTCTCTTATTGTCTCCACAGCTCTTGAATCTACCAGCGTGCCATGCAAAGAGCAGTTTTGTCACGGTCCTACTCTTCTTACATGAGCACACAGATGTGGAAAGTCTCAAAGTGAATATACAGACACCATAAATTCATGTCGACAATTATTATTCAGTAGACTAAGACCATTTCATAATAAACATGTTATTGGGAATTTCATGCCAATATTGAAGAAAGTGAGGGAACAATGCCATTTTTTGGGGGGCATACTTTGAATGTGAGTGGATCTCTCTTATCTTAATTAATTCATCTTGTTCTAGTTGACTCGTCCATTGACAGTCAACATCTCACCTTTTTTATAGGAATATTCTATACTCCGGGTGTTCAATGCACTGATTTGCAGAAAACTCAAAGTTCCCATTTTTTATTTGACAGTTTGCTTTTTAAAGTAATATGTATGTATGCGTACACACACACACACACACACACACACACACACACACACAGGTATATTTATTTAAATTTGACAAGAGAGAAAGAGAAAGCAAGAAAGCAAGCCATCAGATCCAGGACTTGAACCAAGGTCAGCCATGTGAGAGTCTGGTGTATTAGCCACCACACTACCTGCCAGCACCAGTAGTTAGTTGCTTTTAACATGCCATCTTCTCTTTGAAAATACATTTTGGGTCCTGGAATAGGAAGAAATTCTTTCTCTCTGAATTTATTCGTCTGTTTATTTTATTTTTTTGCTATAAGGGATCTGCCAGAGAGAGACAGAGAGAGGGAAAATGAGAAATCACCCCAGAGGGATGGACACATTTTAATCCCTTCTCTTCCATTCTTCTCTTGGGATTTCAGACATGAACATGCACATGCACATGCCAAATAAGATTCTCATGCCACCAGGTCTGAGACTCAAACCAGGAAGTCAGCCATGTGAGAATTAAGTGCCTTAACCTCCATGTCACCTGCTGGCCTCTTTCTCTCTGAATTTTATCTAACTTTGCCTTTGATGTCCTGGGACTCTATTTTCATTATCGAAATTCTCATACTTTTTCTTGAAATTCAAATATCAATTTCAATCATCTAAATTATACTTCTGATGATTTAGCATAACATTTAATGGTCAGACTGGCTATAACCAAAAGAACTAAGATAAGTGATGGTGAGGCTGTGGTGAAGAAGGAAGCTTCCCACACTGCTGACAGGAATGGAAATTAGTACAGCCACTGTGGAAAACTACATGGAGGTTCTTCGAAAATTTACAAATGAAGCTACTATATGACTCAGTAGTCTCATTCCTTGGTGTTTGCCCAAAGGACAGGAAAATAATCAGTTGGAAAGATGCTTGCACTGCTTGCACGTCCACATTTATTGCAGCATTATTCTCAAATACTAAGTCTTGGAATTAATCTAAATGCCCCCAAATCAATGATCAGATGTGAAGCATGTGGCACATAGATGTTATGGAATGTTACTCAGTCATAAAGAACAACAAGACTTGGGACCAGGAGATGGTGTAATGGTTACATTGCTGCATTCCCATGTAGTCGACTGTGGTTAGAGTCCCGGACCTGACGGCTTAAAACATATGCTGATAGAGTGTGCGTGCATTCCCAAGATCTCAAGAGGAGAAGGGATTGCAGCACGGCCAAACCTCCTGGGGGAGTGATTTCTCACTTTCTGTCACTCTGTTTCTGCCTCTCCAGCAAGCACACACACATTCTATAGCAAAAATAACTCTCTCTTAAAAAAAAAAGAAAAGACAAATAGAATATGTCCCTGCTCAATATATACCAAACATCTGCACTCTGGAAGAAATGGAAAGATCCAAAGACCTAAGAATAAGGGGGACAAGTGTAGATACCAGACACTGCACTGGAGGGGATGGGTAGAGGGGCTTGTGTAAGAGGGGCTCAGCAAAACATTTAGCAGACACAACTATATAAGGTTCTTTGTTGAAGACGTACATTACAGTATCCTGGATTATTTGGTTATCCTGCTGCCTATGTGCTTTGAAATACATATTGTATGCCATAAAGATTTATGATAGTTAAACATAAAGAAGAAAATATAAATTGATTAATTTTTAAAGAATAGTCTCTTTGGTTCTGATGATTCAAGTGTTTTTGGGGAGAAGAAAGAGATAGGATCTTCATGCGATGATCTACCCCCACATTCAGCTAGCCCAGATCACAAGCAGGCACATGCATGGCTCACACAGGATATCATGGACAAAAACCTGAAAACGTCTCGGGAGGGACCAGCATCACAGGGTGCTGTATTACTGCTGTGACAACAGCTGACTCTCAGGTATTGATTATTTTTTTAAAGAATTATTTTACTTCACTTGATTTTATTTTGAATTTGATCAGAGAAAGACAAAGCAAGCAAGAGAGAGAGAAAAAAAAAAAAGAGAAAGCAAGCCACCAGGTCCAGAACTTGAACAGTGGTCAGCCATGTGGGAGTCCAGTGTCCATAACCACCATACTACCTGCTGGCCCCTCTCAAGTATTCTTAAGTTCAGGCATATTTTCCTTAAATTTTAACTGTTATTTTCCTCTGCTTTGTGTTGTTCTTTTGGAATTTCTCTAATCACATATTTAGTTTTTAGAATATATAAATATTTCTCCCTTTGTATCTAGTATTTGGCTCTTAGAGTGAATTCACCAAGGTCAGTCTATTTTTTTTCAGACAACTATCTAAGTCATTAATTTAATTGGCTGTAGTATTCAATATATTCTTCAACATCTTAATTATGTCTTATATTTTTTATTTGCAAGTGAGTTTTTTCTAATCAGTAATACATTAAAATTGCTAAAATTTTAAATAAGTACCATTTTTAATTATTTTTATATTGGTGTTAGTCTGTTTCATTTAAAAAACATTTCATTTCAATTCCCAAATCTTTCTTTGTTTCTCTTTAATTGCAGTAACCTAAGTAATTATTGTCATATATTTGACAAAGTTAATGGTCTTAAACTTATGGTATAAAGAAAAGACTCAAGTAATTTCTTTCTTTTTTCTTTTCTTTTTTTTTTTTTTTTGGAGCGGTTTTTGCTATAGGGTGCATGCGCTCGCCAGACAGAGAGAGACATAGAGACAGAAAGCGAGAAATCACCCCCCAGAGGGGATGATCATGCCGCAATCCCTTCTCCTCCATTCTCCTCTCGGGATCTTGGGCACGCATGCACATGCGCCCGGCGTGAGTTTTAAGCCACCGGGTCCGAGATGTGAACCGTGGTCGACTACGTGGGAGTCCAGCGACATAGCCATTACGCTGACTGCTGGTTCCCATCAAGTAATTTCTTTAAATAAAAAAAGGTAATAGGTGTGTGTGTGAGAGAGAGACAGGGATATAAAAAATAACAATGGAAGGAAGTCAAATATTGTTCATAGTAAATTTGGAAAAAGCTACTATGAAGATTAAGTACTCCACACTCCACACTACTCTTTCCATCCAGAGTTTCCTAACAGACTGCGTCTCTCATCTGCTTTTCTAAGCCCAACCATTACGGCCCCCTGGGTTATGTGTGGAATTCCAGCCACCTAATTTCTTGATTCTCCCCTGATTTCTCCTTGTCCAGTATCTAACTGAGATGTATTCTCCTCAGTTGGAGCTCATCTGCTCTCACACTTTAGGAAATATTTCACCTTTGAGCATCAGTTATTAATTTTTTTCCATTGAAACTGAAAATACTTTTGGTTGTATTTTATTTTGCTTTTGTTTATCCTTAAATTGCTGCTAATTTTTCAATATATATCATTGATCATTGCTGGACTACTCCACAAACACATCTCACTGTTGCTTTAGATAGCTTAGCCAAACAAACATTTTTTTTTTTTTCATGAAAGGAGTGTAATGTACTATATTTCAGAATATTCGGATAGCCATCATGAATGTCTTTAGGCAAACTTATTCACATTATTACCTTCCATGAATATATTCTTAACATTTTTCAGTGCTTAGGGCATTTAACGGTTTATCTAGTCCTGACTTTATTTCCATTGAATTCTTGGGGAAAGAAAATTTAAATATGTGGGTTTAAACAGCTATCTTAATTCATAAATCTAAGCTCCTATTTCAGAAAATAAATTTCTGGCAGCAATGCATAAAATACATTAAATGGAACAAAAATTAAAGCAACAGTAATGCAGTTCAAAAAGATACAATCTGTATCTCAATCACTATCTATGACTTCTGACTGACTCTACTTTTGACCAAATAGTTTAATCCAGTCAAAGTGGGCAAATTAATGAAAATAGTCAAAGAATAATATTGACTTATACTTGCCAAAGAATAATAATAGCAACAAAAACATTACAAAAATAACTTTCAGTATTTCTAAATGTGTATTAGTGTTTAATAAGTCATCCTTTGTTTTCCATTTTATTTATATTTCTATATCAACCGATACATCTTTATATGTTTGTATTGTATACAACATGATGCTTTAAGAAATAATGTTGAATGTTACATTTAGCTTAATAACAAATACATTGCCTTCTTCAGTTTTCATTTTTGTGATAAGAGCACATTTGCTCTCTATCTTTCAAGAGTCTAATATATCATTGTGAGCTGTAGTGTCTCTGTTGTACAACAGATATCTTAAAATTTATTCTACTTATACAACTGTAATTATGTATTTTTATCACTTTATTATGACAGTCTTGAAAACATCCATAACAAATGCAAGTAATTAGTAGCAAATAATACGAATAACTAACTCTCATTTAGCACTTGCTCTGTTATGCAATAGTCTAAGCTTTTGATACAACAACTAACTCAATATTCATAGCAATATGTAAGTCTTATATATGACTTTTTGGGCCAGGAGGTGGTGTGAGGTTAAGGTGCTGAGTTCCCAATGACTGACCATGGTTCGAGTCCCAGACTTGGCAACTTGGAAATCAAGCCGGGCACACATGCATGCCCAAAATCCCGAGGAGAAGAAAGGATTGCAGAATTGCCATCTCTACTGGAGGGTGATTTCTTACTTTCTCTCTGGCAAGCAGATTCTCTCTATGACAAAAACCTGTTTATACACACACACACACACACACACACACACACATATATATACATACATACATACATATATATGTATATATATGACTTTTAGACCCATAAATGATGAAACTAAAATGCAAAGAAATTAATAACCTGTTCAAGCACAAAAAACTACTGTATGATACCACTAAAACACCACCCTTAATTTCTCCTGTAGATCTTATACTCTCAACTATTTATTTTATAATCTGTAGTTGTTATTAATGCTTATAAAATAGCATGCTTAAATAATAATAATTTTTAAATAAAAACAATAAAGTTGATGTTTCTGAAGTCATATTTTAATGGCTTAAATGTGATATTTCCTTTCTATATTTATCCATCTGTTTAAGTCTAGGGAGGTAATTCATGCCATCTTAATTTTTTAAAAGTTACTTTTATTTATTTTATTTTTATTCATTAATTAAACATGTATAATCAGAATAAACAGGTACATAGGGAAAAAACTACAATAAAGAGACATAAAACACATTCACAGTGAGAGAGACATACAAGTTAGCATCAAGCTGTGGATACCTCCATCCTCTGAGAGCTGAGAAGCTTCTTTATTGCAATCTTCATGTCCTTATTTCTCAAGCTATAGATGATGGGATTGAAAAAGGGAGCGAGAACTGCGAACATTAGTGCAATGGCTGTGTCCAAAATTGGTGGGAACGTGGCTGAGAAACGCAGGTACATGAGGGATACACTGCCATAAAACATCAGAAAGACACCAAGATGGGCCGCACAGGTAGAAAAGGCTTTCTGGCGGCCTTCGACAGAAGGCATCCTCAGGATGACAGTGATGATTCTGATATACGAGAGGGCAATAATCAGGACCGAGAAGATGATGGCCACAGCATGGATCACATCCTCAACTAGAATCATGGAAGTGTCCGTACAAGCCAGGCGCAGCACAGGTTCAAAGTCGCAGAAGAGTTGATGGATTTGGTTAGGTCCACAGAAAGGCAGTGTGGAAATCCATGCAATTTCCGGGAGCAACACAAGAAAGCCGAAGACACAGGAGCCTACAGAGAGCTGAGCACACAGTCGGGGGGTCATGATGGTTGGGTAGCGGAGAGGATTGCAGATGGCAACGTATCTGTCTATGGCCATGGTGGTCAGCAAAATCCCCTCTGAATTTCCTAGTGAATGGAAGAAATACATCTGCAAGAGGCAGCCAGTCATGGAGATGGTCCTCTGCTGGCTGATGAGGTTGGAGAGCATTTTGGGAATCGTGGCAGTGGTGTACCAGATCTCCAGAAATGAGAAAATGCTGATGAAGTTATACATGGGGTTGTGGAGGCGAGTGTCCATCCTGACTGCAACAAACACAATGAGATTCCCAATAACGATGAATATGTAGATGACACACAAAGGCATGAAGAAGAAAAGGCTACCATGTTCCAACCCGGGGAATCCAGAGAAGAGAAACTCGTTGACGGTTGTAGTTTTGTTACTTCTTACCATGATCTCAGCAGATGCCACTGCCTTGGATGGAAATTCACAGCTCACCTCCTATATGGAATGTAAATATAATAAATATTTTAAAGAGGTTTATATAGAGGTCAAATAAAAAACATTGTTTGAGTAGATTATGTACTTCTCTTTATATTTATGGACTAATTAAACAGGAACATTAGCATTTATTATGTGCCAAGCACAACTATAGATCTGTCGAATTCAACAGTGAAGAATGTAATCTCTATTTTCATGAAGCTTGCATACTAATAAAGAATAAGAAAATAGGGATCAGCAGATAGCATAGTTGTTAAGGCTCTGAACTCCTACATGGTTGACTGCAGTTCGAGTACTGGACCTGGCAGTTTGAAACTCACACTGGGCACGTGTGCATGCATGCCCAAAATTCTGAGAAGAGAATGGAGAAGGCCTTCCAGTGTGGCTATCCCCCCAGGGGGTGATTTCTTGCTTTCTGTCCTTTTTGCTCTCTCTGGCAAGCACACATATCCTATAACAAAAATCTCTTAAAAAAAAAAAAAAGAAAGAAAAGATAGCAAGGACGTCATGCTTATAAATGAGTTAATAACTTAATAATTTAATACCTTAAAGTGAAATAATAATGCTACTAATGATAATCATTTTATAATAATCCCCAAATTTGGTTTGAGTCACATACTAGATAAATTCTCTAACAGTCTATGGCTATGGGTGAGACATCTTTTCCTTCTCTTTGTCTGTATGTAATTATTGTCAAGTTGGATTTTGTATTTTCTGGAATATTCCAGTCTCCAGCATAAAATACATTAAATGGAACAAAAATTAAAGCAACAGTAATGCAGTTCAAAAAGATACAATCTGTATCTCAATCACTATCTATGACTTCTGACTGACTCTACTTTTGACCAAATAGTTTAATCCAGTCAAAGTGGGCAAATTAATGAAAATAGTCAAAGAATAATATTGACTTATACTTGCCAAAGAATAATAATAGCAACAAAAACATTACAAAAATAACTTTCAGTATTTCTAAATGTGTATTAGTGTTTAATAAGTCATCCTTTGTTTTCCATTTTATTTATATTTCTATATCAACCGATACATCTTTATATGTTTGTATTGTATACAACATGATGCTTTAAGAAATAATGTTGAATGTTACATTTAGCTTAATAACAAATACATTGCCTTCTTCAGTTTTCATTTTTGTGATAAGAGCACATTTGCTCTCTATCTTTCAAGAGTCTAATATATCATTGTGAGCTGTAGTGTCTCTGTTGTACAACAGATATCTTAAAATTTATTCTACTTATACAACTGTAATTATGTATTTTTATCACTTTATTATGACAGTCTTGAAAACATCCATAACAAATGCAAGTAATTAGTAGCAAATAATACGAATAACTAACTCTCATTTAGCACTTGCTCTGTTATGCAATAGTCTAAGCTTTTGATACAACAACTAACTCAATATTCATAGCAATATGTAAGTCTTATATATGACTTTTTGGGCCAGGAGGTGGTGTGAGGTTAAGGTGCTGAGTTCCCAATGACTGACCATGGTTCGAGTCCCAGACTTGGCAACTTGGAAATCAAGCCGGGCACACATGCATGCCCAAAATCCCGAGGAGAAGAAAGGATTGCAGAATTGCCATCTCTACTGGAGGGTGATTTCTTACTTTCTCTCTGGCAAGCAGATTCTCTCTATGACAAAAACCTGTTTATACACACACACACACACACACACACACACACACATATTTATACATACATACATACATATATATGTATATATATGACTTTTAGACCCATAAATGATGAAACTAAAATGCAAAGAAATTAATAACCTGTTCAAGCACAAAAAACTACTGTATGATACCACTAAAACACCACCCTTAATTTCTCCTGTAGATCTTATACTCTCAACTATTTATTTTATAATCTGTAGTTGTTATTAATGCTTATAAAATAGCATGCTTAAATAATAATAATTTTTAAATAAAAACAATAAAGTTGATGTTTCTGAAGTCATATTTTAATGGCTTAAATGTGATATTTCCTTTCTATATTTATCCATCTGTTTAAGTCTAGGGAGGTAATTCATGCCATCTTAATTTTTTAAAAGTTACTTTTATTTATTTTATTTTTATTCATTAATTAAACATGTATAATCAGAATAAACAGGTACATAGGGAAAAAACTACAATAAAGAGACATAAAACACATTCACAGTGAGAGAGACATACAAGTTAGCATCAAGCTGTGGATACCTCCATCCTCTGAGAGCTGAGAAGCTTCTTTATTGCAATCTTCATGTCCTTATTTCTCAAGCTATAGATGATGGGATTGAAAAAGGGAGCGAGAACTGCGAACATTAGTGCAATGGCTGTGTCCAAAATTGGTGGGAACGTGGCTGAGAAACGCAGGTACATGAGGGATACACTGCCATAAAACATCAGAAAGACACCAAGATGGGCCGCACAGGTAGAAAAGGCTTTCTGGCGGCCTTCGACAGAAGGCATCCTCAGGATGACAGTGATGATTCTGATATACGAGAGGGCAATAATCAGGACCGAGAAGATGATGGCCACAGCATGGATCACATCCTCAACTAGAATCATGGAAGTGTCCGTACAAGCCAGGCGCAGCACAGGTTCAAAGTCGCAGAAGAGTTGATGGATTTGGTTAGGTCCACAGAAAGGCAGTGTGGAAATCCATGCAATTTCCGGGAGCAACACAAGAAAGCCGAAGACACAGGAGCCTACAGAGAGCTGAGCACACAGTCGGGGGGTCATGATGGTTGGGTAGCGGAGAGGATTGCAGATGGCAACGTATCTGTCTATGGCCATGGTGGTCAGCAAAATCCCCTCTGAATTTCCTAGTGAATGGAAGAAATACATCTGCAAGAGGCAGCCAGTCATGGAGATGGTCCTCTGCTGGCTGATGAGGTTGGAGAGCATTTTGGGAATCGTGGCAGTGGTGTACCAGATCTCCAGAAATGAGAAAATGCTGATGAAGTTATACATGGGGTTGTGGAGGCGAGTGTCCATCCTGACTGCAACAAACACAATGAGATTCCCAATAACGATGAATATGTAGATGACACACAAAGGCATGAAGAAGAAAAGGCTACCATGTTCCAACCCGGGGAATCCAGAGAAGAGAAACTCGTTGACGGTTGTAGTTTTGTTACTTCTTACCATGATCTCAGCAGATGCCACTGCCTTGGATGGAAATTCACAGCTCACCTCCTATATGGAATGTAAATATAATAAATATTTTAAAGAGGTTTATATAGAGGTCAAATAAAAAACATTGTTTGAGTAGATTATGTACTTCTCTTTATATTTATGGACTAATTAAACAGGAACATTAGCATTTATTATGTGCCAAGCACAACTATAGATCTGTCGAATTCAACAGTGAAGAATGTAATCTCTATTTTCATGAAGCTTGCATACTAATAAAGAATAAGAAAATAGGGATCAGCAGATAGCATAGTTGTTAAGGCTCTGAACTCCTACATGGTTGACTGCAGTTCGAGTACTGGACCTGGCAGTTTGAAACTCACACTGGGCACGTGTGCATGCATGCCCAAAATTCTGAGAAGAGAATGGAGAAGGCCTTCCAGTGTGGCTATCCCCCCAGGGGGTGATTTCTTGCTTTCTGTCCTTTTTGCTCTCTCTGGCAAGCACACATATCCTATAACAAAAATCTCTTAAAAAAAAAAAAAAGAAAGAAAAGATAGCAAGGACGTCATGCTTATAAATGAGTTAATAACTTAATAATTTAATACCTTAAAGTGAAATAATAATGCTACTAATGATAATCATTTTATAATAATCCCCAAATTTGGTTTGAGTCACATACTAGATAAATTCTCTAACAGTCTATGGCTATGGGTGAGACATCTTTTCCTTCTCTTTGTCTGTATGTAATTATTGTCAAGTTGGATTTTGTATTTTCTGGAATATTCCAGTCTCCAATATTCTGCTACATTACCTTGTCACAGAGTGGCTTTGAATGTGGCTAGAGAAGGCAGGAGGTTTTTAGGCGCAAATATCAAGGGGAAGCCTTGCTGGAAAATATGCCCCCAGCCACAGAAAAAAATTGAGCTAGTGGAAATTAACCAGCATAGAAAGGACAGTGAGAAATTCAGCATCAGAAGATTCTAACTCTGGAGCATATACACAATATAAATGGCAACAAATTGCTACTTAAAGATGAAACAATTAAGCCATTTTCTTCCTGAAGAATGTAGATCTAGAGCCAATTATATTTCACCAGTATAATTTTTAAGCCCTCATTTGTCTATTTCCATTGTTGCCCATAAGTATCCTGATAAAATTCCTGGTTGTCCACTATTGTGTGTATACTCAAATCTTTTTATTTTTCCTCTTTCATAACTGTTCTTGGACATTATTGGGCTTGTAGAGTTCCTTTATTCGGGGGTTCCAGTGTTTTAATCATTTCAGGCTTCATTTTAATGTCAAAACAAGCTATTAAATCATGATTTTGGAGAACATTTGGTTTTGGACAGTTCATTTTTTTTATTTTCAGATTTGGGAGAGATTACATAGGAGTAAAGAAGTATGCTGTAAATAAAAATACAAACTAGTGTTTTGTCTTAGTAGTTTTAAGAAATTAAACCAAACAAATTTAAGTTTTCTTGTATTGAAAATTACCTACGATTGTATGTTTTTCATTCCTACAAGTAGGTTAACTGTGATTTTAAATTGCTATAACTTCACACCTTTTGAAATCTGCCACACAAAATTTGTTTGTCTTAAATGTCAAAGTCATGAAAATCTGTTTGTTCTTTTATGTGGTTGTATTTCCAATTTCTTGTTTGTGTTAGATTTCAATAAAATGCAAAATATTTTCAAAAGGAAGATTCTGGCTGTGTTCAGTCAGGCTCCTAAAGTGTCAGCCCCTGAGAAATATTAAAAAGAGGCAGAGATTCTTGCAAAGGACCTCGATATTCCTATACAGATCTTTTATATCCATCA